GACCCGTGGGCAGCCCGAAGCCCGACCTCGGGCCGGGGCGGGCCCGGCCCGTTGGCAATGTGAATATTCACATTGACATGTTAACATTCACATTGATAGGAGTGTAAAATTGGCTCGCAGCTTGTGGGCGGCCCGAAGCCCGACCGCAGCCCGAGTCGGGCTTGGCCCGACCCGTGACAATGTGAATATTCACATTGACATGTTAACATTAACATTGATAGGAGTGTAAAATTTATCCGTTGCCTGAGGTAGGCCCGGACCTAAACCCGGGCCGCCCACAGGACGCCAGTCAATTTACACTCTTATCAATGTGAATATTAACATGTCAATGTGAATATTCACATTGTCAACAGACCGGGTCGGGCCCGCCTCGGGCCGCCCACGGGCCGTGGACGTGTTTCGGGCAGCCATAGGGCACGGGCTAATGTTACACTCTTATCAATGTGAATGTTAACATGTCAATGTGAATATTCACGTTGTCAACGCGCCAGGCCCGCCCCGGCCCGGGGCCGAGCTTCAGGTTGCCCACGGGTCACGGGCCAATTTTACACTCTTATCAATGTTAATGTTAATATGTCAATGTGAATATTCACATTGTCAACGAGTGGGGCCGGGCCTGCCCTAGGCAGCGGGCGAGCTTCGGGCCGCCTACGGGCCACGGGCCAATTTTACACTCCTATCAATGTGAATGTTAATATATCAATGTGAATATTCACATTGTCAACGGGCCGTACCAGGCTCGCCCCGGGTCGCACCACGGGCTTCGGGCCGCCCATGGAACGCGAGTCAATTTTACACTCTTATCAATGTGAATGTTAACATGTCAATGTGAATGTCCACATTGTCAGCAGGTCGGGCCGGGCCCGCCCCGGGCCGCCCACGGGCCGCGAGTTAGTTTCGAGCAGCCACAGGGCACGGGCTAATTTTATACTCTTATCAATGTGAATGTTAACATGTCAATGTGAATATTTATATTATCAACGGGTCGGGCCAGGCCCGCCCAGGGCAGCCCACGAATCGCGGGCGGGTTTCGGGCCGGCCACAGGCCGCGGGCTAATTTTACACTCCTATCAATGTGAATGTTAACATATCAATGTGAATATTCACATTGTCAACGATCCGGGCCCGCCCCGACCCGGGCCCGGGCTTCGGGCTGCCCATGGGTCATGGGCCAATTTTACACTCTTGTCAATGTTAATGTTAATGTTAATATGTCAATGTGAATATTCACATTGTGAACGAGCCGGCCCGGGCCCGCGCTCAGGCGGCGGGTTGGTTTCGGGCCGCCCACGGGCTGCAGGCCAATTTTACACTCCTATCAATGTGAATATTAACTTGTCAATGTGAATATTCCTATTATCAACGGGCCGGGCCGGGCCGGACCTATTTTTTTGGCATGTGAGCCGGCCCGGCCCGACTCGAATTTTTCTGGGCACCCACGAGGATCGACATG